AGAGAGAGAGAGAGAGAGAGAGAGAGAGAGAGAGAGAGAGAGAGAGAGGTAGAAAGGGGATGAAAATCAAGACAAGATGTGTGATATGCAGTGGATAAGGGAAGGAGGTGAGAGTGGAAAGGAGAGAAGAGCAGTTTGCCTGTACGACCAGAAAGCGAAGCGGAAAGCGGGTTGCGAAACCCCAGAAGCTGGCTTTGGACGATGAAGAACAAGGGCGATGGAGTAGGGCACGGTACCGGTACCGCGATATGTCGAGCGTAGGCCTCAATATCGCAGAGTGTCAGCCATCGTCATATCCGCAGCCGGTATGCTGGCATCGTACCCTACTGCACATACCGCACGAACAGTTGAAAAGGTTACAAATACCGGGACCCGAATCTCACGCTCCCCAGCAGAGTTCGACCCGGAAGCCAAGCCCATCCGCCATCAGGACAAAAAAAGGCAAGACATGACAGAAGCGGACAGCAAGATGGCGCAGCGAGCAACGGCAAGCGGACGACTATTGGTCCCAGGTCCCCCCCCCCCCCCAACCCCCTCCAGCCTCTCTCTCCACGAGCAAAGCTACAAGTACTCTACAGTGCTCGAGTACCGGTAATACGGCGAGTTATCGGGGGAACAGGGCTGCCACACACACACACACCCAATGGCCGAGTTTCCAAACCTGTGAGTGATCGAAACACGCGTCCCCTGACTGTATCATAAAGTACGAGTACGGTACTCGTACAGTCACTGTGGTCCCCTTTTGTGGCCCGCCCGCATGGATCAGAAGACCTCAAAGGGGGAGGGAAGCGACCCGCCGTCCACTCGCTTCTCATCCGGAGGCACCATTTGTTTGGTGCACACTTCCTTCTTTCGCTTCCCTCCCCCTTCTGTCCACGATGTTTCGTACCGGTAATAACGACACCAGCCGGATGCTTTTGTCCGTGGTAACCAGAGTACGCTGCGGTACGGTACGAACGGTACCCGCGTGATACGAGTTGCTGCCCTACCCGTGCCCTTATTGCAAATCATACGCTAAGCTATGGTGCGTACGGTAGTAAAGTAGCTGACGCGTCCCTGGCCCGGGATGGCTGGCTGGCTGGCATGGCAACCACTGCAGTACGAGTATGATACTCGTACAAGTACAGTATCCGCCGTGCTATCGGTACATCATAACTCGTAGCCTGGGAAAATCATGATTAGATTGGATGGATTATGGCGCATTTCTGCGCATTAGCGGCAGGTGGGCAGGCAGGCGGGCTGCTTGGTTGGTTGGTTGGTTGATCGATCGGAAGTACGGATGGTTATTAATACATGATACATTGGCGAGTGAAAATATTGATTGGAAGGTAAAATGGGAAAGAATTGCTGTGCCTTTACCGTACCGTACTGCACGCCGTGTACGAATACTCGAGTACTCCTTCAGATACGGTAGCTGCCGCGGTGCTAGGTGGTGGGTGGCATCAAGAACCCGGGCACCCTCTGCGCCATGCGAACCGGAAAGAAAGTAATTTTGAGAAAAACGAGTTCCGGAGTGATTTGACTATCGGGGCAGCCGCTAAACCTTGACCTCGGGTTTTTCGATGGATTTCTTCTGCTCCATTGATGACACAGGTCAAGTTATCTCGAGTTTACGGTTCTACGGTAGCCCTTTGGCTAGGGGGGTACCGTATCGGGACATTATTCTCACAAGGAACACTGTACTGTACTGTACTCGTACTGTACTGTACTAGTACGGAACAAGTAGAGCACGCAGGAATGAATGCCGTGGATAAGTACTTGTACTCTTCTCTCTCCTCTCCCTTGCTTGCTTGCTTGCTCACATGTGTATCGATCGTACCCGGGTACCGTGCCGGCACCTCGGAACCTGCCGGTACCCTGAGGTCTCTTGTCGAATCAAGAGCGCTAGTCTTAATACAGTAATCAACCATGCCTAATCAGGTGATCTCCCGGCTAATTATTCAGCAAAAACACACTTTTTTTTTCCCCATGAAAAAGTCCCATGGTCCTCCCTCCTCATATCGTACAAACTTTGACGGCCCCTGCAGCAACCAACCAACATGCTCTGATGGCCTATAGTATTGGAGAAATTATACTTGTAGGGAAGGGATTTTTTAGAAATTCCATTCGTAGGCGTCATTGTCGCGGGTTGAAATACCGTATCCCTTGATTTGGGCTGGCCGGAGGGTGGGTTCTACGCTAATGTGCCGGCACCGCATTATATGATAGCGTGATAATTCACGAGTGAGAGCGAAAGGAGGGAGGAGGAGGGAGAAGGGAATAAATAATAATCGAGGCTTCATCCCTCCATTCATCGAAACCTTCCCTGCCTTTGTCTACCCCGCCCTGCCCTGCCCGGCAAAAACGCCCATCTTCCGAGGGCTCTCCACGACCGTGCACCGCGCCGTGCCCATCGGCGGTGAGGCTAGGTGAGGGGAAGGAGGGATTGTCTAGCCGTACCCGTACTGTACGCGCAATGCTGTGCACGTGTGTGAGTGCGTGTGTGTGCTATCTTCCGCCGTGTAATCATTTGTCATCTACGTTCTCTGCTCTCGTTCCTCCTATCACACCGTGGATGGTGATACAGTGGAGAGGGGCCATGCGATCGGATGGACCTGGCTGTTGAGAGCTGTATTCGCCCCCAGCAGTGCCGTGTGGTGGGTACTGTACGGTATGGGATGCATGGCAGGAATGGCGGGGTGCGTGGGTGTTCATTGCCATACCAAATGGGTGAGAGGGTGGCTCTGATCGGTCGTACGTATTGTACGAGTACTGTGCTCTATCTGCTTCTCTGTCCCATGATAGTCGCCTTGTCCTTCCGCAAGTACCGTACCATGCTGCCGTGCTCACGGTATATGCCGAGATAGGACCCCGTCCGTAACGAGTTGCATGCATTGTCCAGATTGGGTGGGAGGGCCGTATGTAAGCATGGTGGTATTATACTCGCCCTGGAAGGCGGGCAGGCAGACAGGCAGGCGGAGGAGAGAAGAAAAATTCGGAGAGAGAGAGAACCTATATTGGAATACGGCAATACAAAACCGGGAAAACCCAAACGCTATGAAGGGAAGAGAAGGGGGGGGAAATATATGAGACAAGAGGGTATGATAGAAGAGAGGATTTCCCTCTTTCGGGACAAGCACCCTCCGGAAACGGGTCTAACTTAAGTTTATCCGTTCACATAAAAAACCCTCCCCCAACCATGTCATCAGATGGATACCTATCTTTAGCCCTTCCTCTTTTTCACTTTTGGAAGGGGAAGGAGAGGACCCGCATCACGTGCCGAACCCTCCGTCTACTTGCTTCCACTGCTGCATGCACCGGATCGCCATATTAGCCCGGATCAGCTCTGGGTGATTCGGTGCGGGAGGATGGGAGGGGAAAGTGAGGGCAGGTAAGGCATTGGCTCGTGACTTACGTCTCGTGTACCGTTTTAATTATGGCGTCGACGACAGAAGGGTCTGACAACTAATAATCCTCCTGTGTTAGCGCCTACTGTCCGTGCCCCCTCCTGTTCCTCCACCCCCTCTCGCCTTCTTCCATAATCGCCTATACGTGTCGAGGCGTGGGAAAAAACTTACTGTCGAGATATCACCCAGTTGATCCTCTTCGCCGGATAGGATCTTGCGGAGAATGCGTCTCATAATCTTTCCGGATCTGGTCTTGGGAAGGTCGCTGACCACGTACACCGCCTTGGGGGCCGCGAATGGTCCAATGGATTTGCGGACCTGAAGGGTCAGGCTCTTCCTCATCTCGGAAGAGTTCTCGAAGCCATCCTTTAGCGAGACGAAGGCGTTGACAGCTGTCGGACATGTCAGAGATTGCCTTGTTGCTACTTCTTGGGCGCGTACGGGTTCACTTACTCTGGCCGGTCAACTCATCGGCGATGCCGACCACAGCGGCTTCAGCGACAGCCTCTGGATATAGAATCGGTTAGCGCATTTAGTGACGAGTAGCAGGAAAATTGGTTGTTTCCCGGCTTTCTCACCATGATGAATGAGGGCGGCCTCGATTTCTGCGGTTGACAACCTGTGACCGCTAACGTTGACAACGTCGTCTACTCGGCCGCGGATCCAGTAATATCCCTCGTGATCTCTGCCCGCACCATCGCCGGTGTACTAGAAGAAGAAAAAGGTTAGCCAAGGTAACCATTGTATGCCCCCCCCCCGGGATATTCCATACGTAGTAACCCTTGTAGACATCCAAATACGTCTCCATAAACCTCTGGTGAGAGGCCCAGACCGTTCTCGCCATACTGGGCCATGGCTTCTTGATAGCCAATATTCCCTCAACATCGTTCCCGTGTAATTCATCCTTTGATACCGGATCAATGATAGCGGGTTCGATTCCGAAGAAAGGCAGCGTGGCACTTCCGGGCTTGGTTGGAGTGACACCGGCCATGGGCGCGATGACGTGGGAACCGGTCTCAGTTTGCCAGTACGTCTGAAACAAGGGTTAGTCCTGTCTTTCAGTTTTGGGCCGAAACAAGGGGGGTTCACATCCACAACATGGCATTCCTCGCGTCCAACCTTCTCGTGATACCACTTCCACACATCCTCAGCGATTGGCTCGCCGACTGATCCCAGCACTCGCAGGGTCTTCATCTGCTTGTTGATATGGTGGTCGCCGGCCCTCTTCAACAGCCTCAATGCGGTTGGTGCGACATAGAATTGAGTAATGCCGTGTTTCTCAATGATATCCCAATATCTCGAAAAATCCGGGTATGCAGGTGTGCCCTCGAAGACAAGCGTTGAAACGCCGAGCAGCAGCGGCGCATATACCACATATGTATGTCCCGTAATCCAGCCAACATCTCCTGCCGTTCCCATTTTGTCGCCTGGGTGAAGATCAAAGGTGTACTTTCCCGTCATGGCTGCGCCCAAGAGGTACCCAGCTGTCGTGTGCATAACACCCTTGGGCTTTCCAGTAGATCCGGAGGTGTACAGCAGGAACAGGGGATCCTCCGAGTCCATGAGGGTAGGCGGGCAGTAACCGGGGTACTTGTTTACCTCCTCATCCCACCAATGATCGCGTCCTTGGGTCCACGGCACCTCCGATTTAGTGCGACGGAAGACAAGCACGTTCTTGACCTCGGGGCATTGTTTCAATGCGTCGTCCACAATCCGCTTCGTTCCGATAACCTTTCCACCGCGCTTACCCTCATCGGTGGTGATTACCACTTTGGAGCGCGCATCCAGAACTCGATCGCGGAGAGATTCAGCCGAGAATCCGGCAAAGACGACAGAGTGGACCGCTCCAATCCTAACGATTGCCAAGAATGCGACTAGGGCCTCCGGGATCATGGGCATATAAATGGCAACGGTATCTCCCTTCCTGACGCCCATCTGCCTCAGGACGAAGGCTAACTTGCATACCTCACGGAGGAGCTCGCCGTATGTGATCACGCGGCCTTCCGACGGCTCGTCAGCCTCGTAGATGATGGCGGGTCTCTCGGGATCCTTGAAAGCATGTCTGTCGACGCAATTGTAGCAAGCGTTCAAACGGCCCTCAAGGAACCAGCTGATGTCCCCGTGCTCAAAGGATCCATTTCTGACGGTCCGGAATGGAATATCCCAGTGAAGAAGTTCTCTCGCTTTCTCCCCCCAAAATTTATCCGGGTTCTCGATGGACTCGCGGTACTGAATCTTGTACTCCTCCAACGTCAAATGAGGTTTGGTGGGGTGCTTCCTGTTTACATTCCGGGGGATAAGCCAATCGAACTAGGCTCAAGACATTTTCAAAGCCCCTCCAAGATTCAAGTGTTGGCGAGAAGGAAGAACGTACTCATAATACTTGCTAGGAACCTGGTAGGTCACAACATTATGCGCCTCACTCACCACCGGAACTCCTCCTTCAGGCATTTCCGTGGAGTTTGATTTGAGGATCTCAGAAAGTGTTGTACTAAGGGCAACAATTTCGACTGCAGATCGAAATGATGGGTAGGGGGAAGGGAGGTTTGATGGATTAAATACGAGGGCGAGACGCTCAGGGAAGGGGTGGGGGGGTGGGGAAGTTTAAGTAAGATGTTTGCGGGGTCAATTGATCAAACCAAATGATGGAAACGGGAGGTGAGAGAGGGGATCGGGAATGAGACGGGAGAAGCGGTTAGCTTTATACACACTTGTGATGTGCTATGAGACGGGGGCTCTGAAACAAGGGAAATAGTAAGATATTGGTAATCCCAAAAAGAGCTTAATACAGGCGCTCTGGATGAGTGGATCGCCGGACCCTGTCTACTCCGTTCACAAAGGGTTAGGAACCGGTGGTTATGGGATAAGGGGAGAGAGTGGATTGCGGTAGGGAGCCCACAATACTGGGGGGGTTGGAGAAGGAGATCATTATTCGCTGTGAGATATTCTCCTTGCATGACGTTTCTTTCCTTTTTCTTTTTGACGCCCCGGCGGGGAAGCCGCAGCGCAAGGAGATGGGGTTGTGCGGGGCGGCGGAGGCATGGGTTACTATTTTTTCCCAAGAGTGGGATGGGGGGGTCTGCCCACCGCATCTTCTCCTGCCCGGCAGCAACACTACTCGAGTACCGGTATTGTACGATGCTCGCACCGTGTAGCTGTTGAGGTGGATTGGACAGCCACTCTCTTTTACGGGCTCGCTCGCGCTTACATTCTCTCCCCACGCTTTTTTCGGACAAATGGAACTTTCCACCGTGCCCCCGGACGCGCCGTGCCCTATCATGTAAATACCGGTATACAGTGGGATGAAGATGCCACCGTAAGCCCGATCCCACCCCTCTTCTCCCTTTCGTGTGAGAGTTTCGTGCGAGAGAGGGGCGAGGGAATTGACCAAGCCAGACATGAGTTAGAGCTGGGGGGATTTGCTTCCAGCCGTCCATCATCGCGAAATGGTCCCTAAGATCCTTTCGCTCGAGCTAGGGCAACCGACCGAGGATCTATCTCTCAAAAAAGCCAACCTCATTTGCTTGTGATTTCATTTCTCCAAGCCAAGACAGTTGATTCAGTCTTCTCTGGTGGTCTCGCGGCTCACTTCGGGCGGAGCGAGCGGACAGACGGTCGGAGCACTGCAAGCACAAAATCAAGGCATCAAAATAGAACAGAACAAAAAGCAGCAAATCGCAGGTCATCCTCCCCCTGTACTCGAGTGCTCAATGCCTCAAAACTACTGGCCTCTCAGCAAGGGACGGGCCTTATCAGAAATGCCCTGGACATCGAACACCGGCATCATTAGCTTTTACCCCACATCCTAACCCCAGGAATTGTCGCTTAAGTCAGCCGAGATTTCTGGCTCAGGCGCCCTGAGGCTAAATGGAAAACTTACTCTAGCCAAGAACAACCCCGTGACTCCCTATGACCTGGAACCTTAATTTGTGAAGGATAACTTAGAGCAATCCGGTCCACAAGGTGTTCCATATCATAGGCCAAACTATGATATGTTTAAGCCATGCGGTAGATATTCCGGAGGCATACAAGTACAAGTCGCTAATCCTCCAACGTGTTGATCCCTTTTCCCCATTGCGCAATCATAACAGAGCGGCTTATGCCGGTATCATATCGATGGGTCTTTGTATAACAGACCTTGTCCCAAACCTTCCTTGGAGGTGGATTGGGGGGGGGGGGGCTTATCAGGCCAATTATTACTACAGCATCCTGCCCGGCTGTGGGGGATGGTGGCCTCCAGGTGCTGCCCAGCCCGAAAATGTGTAGGTACGAAAATTCAGAACCTCCGCTGGTCCGTGATAAGAAGACGCAGGAAGTTTGTCTAGAATAGGGGGTTATAAATTCGGACCTGACACCTCGACCGAAGAAGGGAGCGACGTTCCAGAGAGCCGACCTATTATCCGTGGAAAGGGTTTGAGACCTTCATGGTGCTGTGTTTGAATGCCTGTGTCTTTGACTGGACAAAGGAGTTTGTGCCGGGTAGGATATGATATGTTGAGTGCCGGCATATACAGGGTGGGCAGCCGGTGATGGTTAATGGACACATTAGGTTACGGAACACTGTAATAGCGTTTGAGATGGCGTTGGGTGCTTTTTGCAATGTGACGGAGCACCTGTGTCGGCCAGTACTCGAGTACAGTACTCATAGACTTCTTGAGCCCGGCGAGCGAATGTCGAAGCCCGATTACCAAATATGAGAGAACCTGGGGATAAAGTGCAATTGATGCGGTGTTCGTTTTGAAAGACCCCCCATCAAGAGCTATTAATCAGACCATGGCGAATTACGGGGACCACGATACACTAGCAAGAGACCATAAGAATGGAGCGAATTAACTGTTAGGAGGATAAAGATCGGACATACTCATAGCAATACTCGCACCGTTTCAACAATTCATCTCACCAAAGCAATCTTTCACAAACCCCAACCAGCCGAATGACATCCTGTCGTATTTTCCGGTGTATGATACTGTATCGGTGGTCCGTTTGCGGAGCACCTTCCCCCAAAGAATCAGGAAACCTTGGGCCGCCAGGTATGAGCATGATACCGTAGAATCAACCTTCGCCAAGCCAATGACACTGCTTAGTCATCTAACGAAGGTTGTGACTGCTCCCAACTCCACAACACACTTCCACGCACCGCCATCAATTATATTCCCAAAAATAATCCCAAAACCAAACCCACCTACTGACAAACACACCCAACAATCACGACAACACCATGCCGGTACGTACAAAACGAAATCCCCTCCCATTCTTAACTCCCTAAGGCCCGAGGCAATGATTGATCTCTACGGTTCTCAATTTTTCCAGGACTGACGAGAGAAACGGTGTTCCGCAGACCAGATTGACGAAAACCAGAAAGCACCGCGGCCACGTAAGTGCCGGCCACGGTCGTGTAGGGAAGCACAGAAAACGTAAACTACCTCCCTTCCTTTCCCTCCTAAATCTCAATCATCGCCCGAGGAAAGGGAAGAAATCCCGAACTAACGATAGTACCTGAGAAACACAGATCCCGGTGGTCGCGGTATGGCTGGTGGCCAGCACCACCACCGCACTAATCTTGACAAGTACCATCCGGGGTACTTCGGCAAAGTCGGTATGAGGTACTTCCACAAGCAGCGCAACCATTTCTGGAACCCTGTTATCAACCTTGATAAAGTATGCCCTCTTCCTCCCCCCCGCTATTCACCTCCCGCCGCTCTCCCTAAGCCCGCTAATCTAATGTCTTTCTCGCTTTTTTTTTTTTTAAAAAAAAAAGCTGTGGTCCCTCGTCCCCGCCGAATCCCGCAGCAAATACCTCTCGGCAAAGTCTGATACCGCCCCCGTCATTGACTTGCTCGCGCTGGGATATTCAAAGATTCTCGGTAAGGGTCGCCTCCCAGAGGTCCCTATAATCGTCAAGACGAGATATGTCTCTGCGCTTGCGGAGAAGAAGATCAAGGGGGCTGGTGGCATTGTTGAGCTTGTTGGGTAAAAAAAATAATTAAAAATTCAATATCAACTTTCTTTGCTGCCCCCCCCTTCCTTCTATTATTTCTCGGGGTTATTTTCTATTTTAAACTTGTGTGGTGCAACATCTTTTTTTTTTCCCTAACGATAAATGTGAAACAATGGTTTCTGGGTCGTCATGTTTGGTTTTGTTGGGCTGATGGTGGTAGCGCGCGAGGATGTGACATGAGGTGATACGACGTGAAATACGGAGGGGCGGGGGGGACAGAGTAAGGATGGATAGTGGTGGCCAAATTTCTGGGGGACACAATACTCGAGTATCTTGGAGCGGACTCAGAAAGCAACATCATGGACTTAAACATCAACGTCAATTTCCGAACCCTTCAACACCAAAAAAAAGACATCCCACCACATATATAACCAACGCCAACGAGAAAATACCAACCTTTCTATTCAGTGTCCCCCATTCATCCAAAGAAAATAAAAAATGTGTATGGCACGACATCTATTAAACCTGTGATACAGCCAACCCCCCTACTCCCCTCATCCATTCCATACCCCCAGCCACTCCTCCCCCTCACCATTTTCACAGACTACTGCCGAAAAACCGGAAACTATCCTAAAAGGTGTAAATAGGGCAAAAGAAAGATAGGAACGGGAAACACCATATACAAACCCCATCCCTCATAATTACCCCCACAACAACCTTTTGAAGTTAGTTTAATAGTTATACAGTACATGTTCAGCGCCTAGAATTGCGAGAATAATGCTAGGGAGAATACCGGAAGAGAGGGGGGGGGGGAAAAAAAAAGAGGGAGAGAGAGCAAGAATGAAGAGAAAGAGTTGGAAGTTGCAAATAGAAAAGGGGCTAAGAGAGAAGAGATTTAGTGCTTTTGTCAGTGGGTAGCTAGGGTTTGGAATTGGGAATATAGGTCATACGAATCTGCTAGAGTAAAGAGAAGAAACCGGGAGGAAGGGTAATGGGAAGAAGACGGAGGCTAGCATAGCGAGTAATTTTTAAGCCACAAGCAAAGATCTCGAGGGCGTCGAGGGAAATGGAAAAAGGGAAGGGGTATGAAACGGGGAAAGGAAGCGCGCGCCGAGAATTTGTATATAAAACCGATCCGAACCAAACCCAGCAAGAAAAGCATGACAGAATAACAAATAAATAGGATAAGCTTTCCCGGCTCATTTCATCAAACACGCCACATCATACCATGAAATTTTGTATTGTACACGTCGGAACGTGACCCAACCGTTAGCATGCTGTATCGCGGGGGGGTGGGCAAGGGGAGGACAGCAATGAGAAGGGGATAAAAAGGAGGAAAGAAACGAATAACTCCTATTGGTAAGTAAATAGTAGAACAATCCGAACAGGTAGCGAGGAGAGACGAGACGAAAACGGAAGAAAAAGAAGACCAACACCCCAAGGAACTTATCATTTTCACAGCATATGAACAGAACATAATGTAGCAATCAAAAACAAATAGAAAAAGTGTCAGAGTATGAAGAAGCTAAAGGGAGAAGGGGAAAAAAAAAATTCTTTGGATTAATTCAATAGTACCGGCCGTAAAATGGGTGTCATGGAAAATTCAAACCACCCATTCTAAATGGATGATGGTACACATGTATTTATTTGGGTGGTTGCTGCTGCTGCTGTAGCGACAGTATTGCAGAAGGACTCGTCGGCATAAGAACATGAACCTTCGCCTCGCCCCCGCCAATCGCAACTCTGGCCCCGGACTCATCCCAAGAAATTTCACCAATCTCCGCATCGGTTTCCGTACCCGGTGTGATGATTTTCCCGTTCTTCCTGCGACCTTTGAGGTAGTCGTAGACGTGTGTTCTCGCGCCGGTTTCAGCGTTCCAGATGATTACCTTACTGTTCGCACTGCTGGCGAGTCGGGTGCCAGAGGGTGAGAAGGATATCTTCTCGACGGGATCATCGTGGGAGTTTAGGATGTTGATGCAGGTTTTTGAGAGAACCTCCCAGAGGCGAACTTGGCAGTCGTTTGAGGCAGATGCTAGGACTCGCTTGGTGGGTGGTTGGGGTGAGGACGCAATTGGCTGCCAGCACAGCGATACTACGGCTTCAGTGTGCCCTTGCAATTTAAAGGGTTGAAGGATCTTGGCGGGCTTTTCCCAGATCTTGATTATCGAGTTAGCTAGCCCCGAGGTTCACCAACGAGTCAGTTGATAGGAGGAGGCCTTACGAGTACATCCCCACCCTCTCCTCCACTCGCCAATCTCTCCGAACACTCATCCCAGACCACACAGTTTACCTCCCCCGAATGAGATGTATCCGCATTCAGTAAGCTATCATGATCCAAATCGTAGATCCCAACACTTCCCCCATTGCCGCAGATCGCAAACTGCCTTTCGCTTATCCAGTCCATGTCTGTCGCTGCCTCTGCTTGTCCCCCCCTCGCCTGGCCCCCCTTTCCTTGGTCTTCCATTGTTTGCTCGAAACTCCGTCGCATATCCCCTGTTAAAGCATCCCAAGCAATAATTTTTCCATCACAAGACAGTGATAATAAGGTGTCCGCTGACTTGTTCCATTTGAGCGCTATGACGGGTCCATGGTGTGGTGGTAAGGTATGCCGCAGCAGACCGTCTGTAGTCCATATCCGAGTCTGGCCATCATAGGAGCCAGTAGCAATCAAGTCACCTCCTGGACTCCAGCGGATCGCAGTAACATCTCGGTTAAGGGATCTGCTTGGGTCGTGCAAAATAACTTTGTTTTGGATCGCGGTCGATGAGGTGGCATCTATCGGCACATTCCATATCCGTGCAATAGAATCTTGACTTGCGGTTGCAAGGACATTCGAATGAATAGGATTCCATGCACAAATCGAAATATTCTTATCCTCCTGCCCCAGTATTACCGAATCCTCCGCTGTGATCTCCACAGTGCCCTCCTCCACCTGCACGCCAACACTACACCCATTGGTGACACGAGGCTCCTCCGCAACGGTAACCGGAGTCTCAGGGAATCCATCGGTCATCGGCGTATCACCATCGGGGCCAGAAACCGCCTTTTTCCTCCGTTTATGCGATGTCCCACCGCCACCACTGGCACCGCCAGTTGGGTTTGCCCCTGCATTAGAAAGCCCATTGATCCCATCATCCCTTCCGTGTTTCCTTGAGTAATTGGTCTGTGTTGTTGTGGAAGTTGCAGTGGGCGACTTTGATGCCCCCATTAATTCGTCTCCATCCTCATCTGCGTGTCCATTTTCTTCCCCAACTCCCTCATCTTCCACATGAAAGAAGGAAAATGGCTCGACTGCTTTTTTTCTGGATCCGTCCTGCTCGCTTAGTCAGCGATTGTGGTACCCTTCGAAAAAAAATAACCCGCACAACACCAAGCTACAACTGGAAACGTGCCTTATTCACAAGCGCCGCGCACTCCAGGTACTGCAGACCTCGTTGGATCAAATGTATCAGGGCACCCGGCCTGATTGTTGGCCGTAAAACATCATCGCTCCCAGCCGTATGGCTTTCCTGCTGAAAGGTGATTGCTGAATCTTTAAACCCTGTCACACACACGAAAAATGTTTAAGCAACCAGTCCCTTCCCGGGGGAAGCGAGGATGGAAAAACCCTCAACTACGGGTCGCAAACGAGGGGAGGCCACAAACCTGACTCCTGAAGATATCTACACGTTTTCACGAAGGTGTAAGTTGATTGACGGGAAACCTCCAAGGGTGAAGGAATTCAGTATTGAAGACGTACCTCCAAATCAGATAATTTACCTGGTCGGACGTCAGTGAGCCCGCCATAAGGAGCTCAAGGGACGCACGTGACAAAGGCGAGCAGCTGGGGCAGAGTACTGGCAACGAATTGGGAGTGCGAGACAGAGAATGCAGATGCCCAGGAGGGCCGCCTCAAGGTGGCGGAGGAGGGGGGGTTTAAAAGGATGGAACGGAGGGTGATACGTGATACAGGCAATGGATGGGAGAATGTTGAAAGGGTGTTGGCGATGAAAGGAAAAGAGGTGAATTGATAAAGGAGAGGACGACGACGACGACAAAAAAGAAAAAAGGTTATGCGAGAGAAGCGGACACCAGATGAACGAATGGGGGAGAGGTGCGAGGGCTGTGGGAGGAGGGATGCAATCAAAGAGACAACCTATGTTATTGAAGCAGCGAATGTGGAGGAAGGCAAGACAAGCGCAGCCGCAGCGCGCGGATCCGGTTATTCTTATTCCTATTCTTATTTTTTTTCTATCCTATTTCTCCTTTATTTTTCGGTTGCGGTTGGGTTGTGAAAGCTTCGGAGGGAGGGCGAGCTCAACGGGAGAAGGCAAAAGGGATTTCGGGACCTTGGGATGGTGGAAAGGTCTAGGGCATGCAGCGCGTTGCAGCAACAACGGAGAAACTCGTACAGTTGAGAAGAATTTGAAGATGGATGTGCGTGTGTGTGTGTGTGTGTGTGTGAGAGAGTGTATGTGCGCGTGTGTGTGGACGCAAGACTAGGTTAGGTGTGTAGTGGAGATGATGGGTGGATGAGAGGGAATGTGGGATCGTTACATGGGGCTTTTCGTGGGAAGGGAAGGGGAATATTGGTGATATGTGTGGTGTGGTATGGATGGGTATGGATCGTCCTTGAAGGTGTCCGGGCTGGGTTGACTGATGATTGATTGCCTGGGTGGGCGGACGGCGGATGTGTCCTTGGTGCCGTTTTGTCTTTCTTGGCAGAGTGCAAGAGACGCACAAGAAAGCCGAGCAGGTGATGGGGAAGGGGAGGAAGGGGAGGAAGGGAACAGTCGAGCTAACGAGGATGACGAGCAGCAGAGATGATGGAAGGGTAAAAATAAAATAAAAACCTTGCTCACCCACAGAAGAGTAAAGTTTGGTGGATGTATGATATCTTGTATGGGGAAAGGGAGAGGGAGAGAGGGAAGGGAGTGCGATTGAAGATTGTAATTTCAGATTGTGGATTGGCTGGGCTGGGCCGTCGGGTGCGGAACGAAAGAACGGGGGGGGGGATGAAGGTGGTGGTGGTGGAAGCAGGAAGGGATGGATGGATGCTGGATGGATGGGGACCAGTCAAGCCTCCGCCGCCTTCAACTTGCAGGCGGGAACCACAGCAGAACCGACACCACCGCTGGAGCAACCACGGTTGGGCTGGGTCGAAGGGATGCCGGTATCATACAACGCCAGAGCAGAAGGATCCGGCAGAAGAGGTGAGGAGAGAGGGGGGGAGAGGCGAGCACCGCCCTCCTCCAAAACAGCGCAAAGCCAGGTTACCTGTACCGTGCTCTACTTCAAGCTGTGCACCGCAATGCCTTCAACGCAGAGTCGGGGGCCGCTGGCGCTCTTCTGGGTCACCTCCAGCGAGTCTTGGCGATTGCTTGAACCAGAGCAGCTCCCGCAGCGAACTCGCTTGCCATGGGACGGCTGTCTGGCACCGTGCCGGTATTGTCTAGCCCTGCTCTGAACCTTCCTCCCTCCACTCCAACCTTTTTCTTTTTACTCTACTTCTTCTTCTTCTGCTTCTTCTTCTGCTTCTTCTCCGGGCTGGGCGGGATGACAAGTACTCGTGGGGAGGGAAAAGCGCCGGAGGAGAGCGGGGAACACCCTTCCACACCACCAGCACAACAACAGAATTTCAATCTGGATCACTCTACCATTGTATGGTAAGGTGCGGTGGCGGTGGTTGGCCGTAGTGAGTTTTGGCTTTTGGCCCTCACTCGTATGATACGGGTAACCCACTCATACGGTACTTGGAGTTCTCCCTCCCTTCCTCCCTCTCTGCCTGACAGCTACTGTAAAGTTGTGGTAAAAATCGAATTCAAGATGCGACAGAATGCAGGAAAGACGCATGGGGGATCCTGTTTCGAGGGTTACACAGAGGCCGTACTGTGCGAGTGCAAGTAACTTACTGGCAGATTGGCACCCCTCAATGAGCAGGAAAAATAATACTGTAACAAAAAAAATGAAAAAGAACGTACCTTTTACAGTATGATACCCCCGAAAAAACCGTTGCCTTATCCGGTGTCATCCAATTCCCCCTTCGATGAATGAGCTCTTCCATTTATTGTTTGTGGTATGCACGGCTTATCCTCTCGCTTTCATGAGTTGAACGCCCTCTTTCCCTCTCCACCATCCCTCCCTCTGTGTGCCCTGCATCTCCTTCTTACCGTCATGATCCTAGAGTACTGGTAAGGGAAAATCCCTTGATTCGTTAAATCCCGCGAGATACTCGAGTCCGCGCCGGCGTTCTGCCATTTGTCTTTCTTTCCCCCTTTCGAACCTTCTCTCTCCCTTCTCGTGGCTGCAGCCTTGAGAGGAGAGCGGGTGGCAGCGAGGGGCCACCCGAGACCTGGGCCTGTGAATCACCTTCCATCCGATACGCTGCTGCGCGAGCACGGGTACCCATGCTCGAGGACTCGCGGTGCACAGGGTGTTAAGGGTACGGTGCGTGAGCGAGGCGGCCATGTTCTCATTGGCTTCTGGGCCACTCAGCCAGTGAGTGGGAGAGCAGGATAAATTATCGTGAAGCGGTTCAGTGGTCTCCCTTCAAAACGACAGCCAGTATGGACCCTCTATGCTCAGCCCCTAAGTGCGTGTTCATCATGATAAATTCTCATTGAAAAAGCCCTCCCATCAAACCCATCTTCTTTTATCGTAACCGGGGGAAACCGCAAGGTGCGATCCCGAGACCCAAAGGGACCGAATCGCTCCAGTCCACAATTGGAAAAGGAAAATCTTATCATATCTAGACCCGGCAAGAGCCTCTCAGCCCCTAGCCTATTATTATTACCGGTGTTATTATTATTATTATTATTATTATTATTATTATTATTATTATTATTATTATTGCTATTTTTTTTTCTTTTTTTTCTTTTTTCCCCTTCCTTTCCCTTCTCTTCGATCTACGGTACATTTTACTCAGTTGGAAGAGCCCCGGGCGGAAATCTGAAAAGGAAAAAGTCCGTGACCACAAAAACGTGGAGAAGTTGATTGACTGCCTGACAGACAAGATCTGGAGGAACCAGCCACAAAGGGCTCAACCAACCCCACGCGGGCAACAGCACAGGTTCCAAAAAAGAAAAAAAAAAGAAAAGAAAAAAAAAAGATCACACCCCACCGATCAGAGCTCCCCAACAACGTTCGTTCCCTCAATTCAACGTCTTGGATTGCGGTTTTATCAGCACGACATCACGCTACCGATCCACCTACCCACCTTTTTTCGAGCTCACTGCTCCCTCGCTCTCGTCCGTTGTCAGCCTTACCTACCGTGCCCACCAACCATTAGAATAAGGTAGAACAAACAAACAACATGCCACCGAGAGTCAACATCCCCCCTTTAACAAGGGGTTGTCTGGTAGTATGCGTCTTCTTATCAGTCCTTACCGGCGCCCTTCGCTACCGGGACCAGGTGGCTCGCCAAGAAGAATACCCCCCGGATTCACCGACTGGCGGTGGCGGATCACAGATCTACACAGTCCCCTACCTGACGGTTGTCCCGGCACTGTCGATAGTGTTTCCCTGGACGTTTCTGATTGCAGCGCTGGTGGAGCAGAATATATTCACCTTGGCCATCACGCTGGCGACCCTGTTCTATGGGGGGAAGTACTTGGAAAGGGCGTGGGGGTCTAGAGAGTTTGGAAAGTTCCTATTGGTGGTAGCGGTTGTTCCAAATGTCGTCGCTTTCTTTATATATATCGTCTGGTTCGCGCTGACGGGGAATGTCGAGTGGTCGTGTGTTTTCCCCCTTCCTTCCCCATCACCCAAGATCACCGCCTGGACTGGCTGATAGACAACGAATAGATTTGCAACCATCTGCGGTGGCGTAGCGGCCCAATCCGCCTTCCTGGTAGCCTTCAAACAACTGGTTCCCGAACACACAGTAACCCTCTTCAAGGGCTTCCTAAAGATCCGCGTAAAGCACTTTCCAGCAGTCTTCCTCCTCCTAAACACTCTCAGCGGCCCTGTCTTCGGCACCGACGTCTCCACAACCCTCGCATGGCTCGGCTTCTTCTCATCCTGGACATACCTCCGGTTCTACAAAATCTCCCTCGCTGACCTCTCCACCAACCAACCCCCAACGCTCAAGGGCGATGCTTCCGAGACCTTCGCGATGGCATACTTCTTCCCAGACCCACTCCACCGACCCGTCGCCATCATCTCCGGAGTCGTGTACAACCTCCTCGTGAGCTTCAAGATCTGCACGCCCTTCTCCGCCGCCGACATTTCGGCCGGGAATTCAAGGGCAGAGGCCAGGGGCGATGCGAGCTTGGGAACACTATTGGCCGGTGGTGGAAGGGGCGCCGCGCAACCGGGGAGCGCAAGGGCTGAAGCCGAGAGGCGGAGAGCTATCGCTTTGAAGGCACTGGATCAGAGGTTGCATGCCGCGGCGAATAAGCCTCCTGGATCGCAGACTGTTGTTAACGGTGAGGGTAATGGCGGCGTGCTAGGGGAGACGAGTCTAGATACCGAGCAGGCGGGGCCTTGATCTTTGTCGTGTTTGGGTGAAGGGAGCGCCGTGGTTGGCGAAAAGCGAGAGGGAAAATAGGAGGGTGAGTGTAGTTAATGGATGGATGGATGGATGAGGGGGGGTGTGAAGAGGGGAGGGGTTTTTGTAGATATGAATTCCCTTTTTTTCTTTTTTATTTCTTTTTCTCCTTTCCCTTTTTTCCCCTTTTTATCGCTCGTGTGACCCATGATTTACGAGTCTGATTTGATGTTCTTAGCGAGAAGATCTGATTTGGATTGGGCTGTTACGGATGGACGGTAATATTCTCTCTTGTATCGAGTCATAACTTGTGATGGGGTTCAGGGCTTATATAATATAGTATTATACGATAGCTAAAAAGGGGCTACACCGGACAGCTACTCGTGCACGGATTCTCAAAAAATTTGAGCACCATCACACACGTGTGGCAATATCACACGCGAGTTCCGATGAATTGATTTCGCATTCATCGGTATTCATCTATTGATCGTTCTAACAACTCCTGCCTCCGACAGACAGACAGACAAACAAACAAACAAACAAACAGGCGAGGAACGAAAACACCCAAGGCAAACCTAGATGGAAGAGAAGGGCTGAGACTATATGACAAACCGGAAGAGAGGGAACATGGAGATGGGACAAAAATTCTATACAGGGGAAGGAGGCGTATTAGGCGGGTGATCCATTATCAATTTTACTCCGACGGGGTCCGCTTCTCCAAGTACTTTTGGAACTCCTTCTCGCAACTCCGGCCTTTTACCTCTGCGCAGCCCTTGAGACGGACGAGCAAGTCCCCGTCCTCGTAAGTTCCACCGAGGCCCGGCACATCGGGGTAGGAGTTCATTATTTTCTGCGGGATCACGGCCAACTTAGTCAGGACTGTAGGGTGCCATTGGACAATGTGCTCCTATAAGTCGCCGTTGGTTAGCTGACGGTCCACGTCAGGAGAGGACCCGATGCGGGAACATACAAGAGCGTGCTGCTCCGCCTTCTGAAACCCATAATTTCTAAAAATCGGATCGAACCAAGCGTCAAGCAAGTAATGAGCCCACGGTCCCGCCTTAATGATCATGCTCCCGGGCTGCAATCCCCCAGCATCTTGCGTGATGATGAACTGCACCCTCTCAGGGGGGACGTGTTTGTACGTCTCGATAACGGTACTCGACGGGACGACGGGTACACCCCTACGCATAATGCTGCCCAGTCTCCCAGGAACCAAGATGTGCTGCTCCAGCGAGAGCGAGGGGTTCATGATTACGGCGTCCTGGTCGAGGAACCAGAAGTAGGTGGAGTATTTGTATTCCTTCATGGCGTGCCTGATGGCGGGGATGCACGCCCAGCCGTTTGGTGCCTCGCCGACGGGGTAGTCGGTAACGTTCCCGGCGAAGAATCCGTAGCCTAAAACATTGTTAATTGGGGGGGGGCTTCTTTTGCTTTGCACATTGTTGCTCTCTTTCACGGTGAGGAAGAGGAGAAGAGGATTACCATGCGTTTCAGCATATTCCTTTCTATTCTCCACCACCTTGTTGATGTAACTTGTTGAGTGCCCGGTTTTGTTGGTTAATAGAATCATCACCGTGTGAGGTGCGCCTTCCGGTCTCCTGTCTCCTGAATTCCGGGAAAAGGCTATCAACAGCAGTATCGCTAGAAATACCACCGCGCATAGTGGTCTTTTTCGACCAAAATATGCTCGTGGGACGCTGCCCGCGGGAAAGGGGGAGGAACGATGGTTCCTTCCTGGAAGTGCGAAGTGCATCACGGGCCTCGGTATTCGCGAAAGTTGAAGGTCTGGTCCAGACTACGACGGGAGAGGAAGAGGAGAAAGAAAAGAAACGAGTGTGGTGCGGCCGATGGAGGCCGGAATTAGGATAGTGGGTAAGGAGAGGGGGGGGCTTTATTCGTCTGGGCTCAGGTCCAGATGCTCAAGTCGTCTGGGGCTGTTTCGTTGAAGTTATTCTCCTTTCTTTAAAGAAAAATGCTTCGGGAGAGATGAATGGTCGTCGATCTTAACTGGTCGCGCGATAATTTTTTTCTTTTTCTTTTCCTCTTTGGGGTTCTTTTTTCCTTTTTCCATAACGCTTTCAGCCTACCGCGAGCACCGGGAATGATTGAAGCTCATGCCAAGACATCCATAATTCCCCTCTTTCAGTTTGATACGGTAAAGGGGGGAATATCTCCAAAAGGAAACTTGCCTCTGGCATTCCACTGAGACAGATAAAAAGAAAAGAAGAAAAGAAAAAAAATACAATAATAGACCCTGCTTGGAGAGGCAACTCCAACGTCCAAGTGTGAGGTTCAATCATTCTGGTGCTTAATTTACTGCACGGGTGTGATAGGTTGTCTGTCAGTACAAGTGCTCGAATACGGTACTTGAACTGTAGGTACCGTATGTAACGAAGATCCATAAGAAATTCAGTGAATGGTTAATACAGGTTAACCTATGAAATAAACCCTGCCCTGTACGGAAACATTTCCCCAGTGCTTGCCACATACACCTTCCTCCGACATCAATAAGCATTAATTTACGGACCCGGTATGATATCATGCTTGGAATTTTTGATCGAATAGAAAAACAGGTCCCAAATGACTCCAATACGGTATTTTCGACAGCTATCATACTGTAAGGTAAATTGCCTGCACTGCTGGTACAGCACAGTACCTGTAGACTACTGTAGGTCACAACCATTTTCTTAGCGCACGTCCGAAAGCGGCCTTAATACCGGTACCAATCATGTGGGAGAATTCATCTTCAAATTTTAATATAACCACACAGCGTGGCTACTTTGGGTGAGTGAGTGACCGTCCCGCCGGCTGTTTCTTTCTTTCTTTCTTTCTTTCTTTCCACTCTATTCGTGCCATCTCATCAACCAAATCAAACTCCGCGGATGAGGGGTTCAAAAAGAGGTTCTGTTCTGTCCTCATTTCTCCACGATCCTCCGACACCAAGATTCTTGCACCCACGGATACACAGTCGGGCGTGCTCCCTTCCCTGTGCAGAAAAATCTCGGTCGGGGGGGGGGGGGGGTGCGCTGATAGGGAGATGTATATCAACTATGGAAATTGCAGCTTCTAACTTGGCTTCGGACCAAATTTGTGAAGAGAAAGGAGTGAGATGATATATCAGGGTTCTTCTTCAACAAAGCTGCTGGGTCACCGGGAAAGGGTCTTGAAGGATCTTGCCCCATTCCTTCATTGCGGTATTATACGAACGGGGGGAGTATTGAGAGCATATTGAAAGGAGGGTGAATTGCGGTGGGGGCGTCGTGCCCATCCATACCACGTTATACAATGCAGCGCCATCCGCCGTTCCTAGATCGATTCTTTTGCTCCTATCACCCTCTCCCCCACCGCCTATTTCGCGCTTACACTGCCCGCGATCGACACAAAGCCCGTTGGTGCTATTGTGGCATGGGGTCATTTAGGCCTTGCTGTCTTGTATGGTGAATGGGCCGGAATGGGTCCTGAGACGCTTTACTGGCCGGGAGGCTTGCGATTCTCCGCAATATAACACCCCGAATGAAACCTACCGGTAATCTGAAATGGCGCAGGCAATTATGATGGGTCTGGTGGGCTGTGCTGAGGCTGGTGCACGATGGGTGGAAATGTTTCAGTGCCCCAGGACCGAGGGACACAGAGAAATTAAGCCCCCGCATTTGTGTATGCCATTGTGCTTTAGACGTATGCGTGGAAAGTCTTCTCGGGTGATACAACTTCGATCCTATGGTATACCGTACTTCATACTCCCGCCCTTGCTCCTTTTGGGCTCGGTGGGAGTCTTAGTAATTACCGAATTCCCGAAGAAACTCCATTCACAACGGTTGAGAAGACAAGCTTATGTACTAAACCAAAATAGAACCCCTAGGTATTTCGAAATCGAAAAGAAGAAAGAGAAAACCCCGCCGCTCAACCCAGTGCAGAGAAGAATTTATAAGGCTTGGGCCAAAAAATATACGAAAGAAATTTTCATCAACTTTCGAGAGGATGAGGAAAAAAGCATACAGAAATTGTTGGGGAACTAGCACAAGAGAAATACCCCTAACAAGAATTGCATGAATGGGCTTTTGTTATAGCCAAAAACTCAGTTTAGGGTTGCCCCTTTGCCAAGTTGGGGGGGGGGCTAGAAAAAGGAAGCCCTCTGGGGAAAAGAAAATATGATAAGAGATATTGTATGAAGTACATGCTAAGAACGGGCTCAGTCAAGACTAAGAACCAGCGACACAGAAACATCCAGATGACTTTACAAAATGAGAGTCGAGTATGTTTAGTATCCAAAGAAGTGAATAGAGAAGGGTGAGGTGAATAGAGCGAGTTTGAAGAGTAAGTGCGAGGAACCTTCCGGGCAAAAAATACAGGTGAAGATGAAGGAAAAGGTAAAATACTGGCGGTGAAAGGATTCAGAGAAATAGTGTTGTCAGAAAAGCCGTTGGACGATACAGTATTTTTTTCGGAAGTGTTTTAGGCTCTCTCGGGGCGCATTTACTCACAGGGGGTATTCTGGTAGGGGTTAGATATAGCCCCCCTTTGATTGGATATATGTGCTAATAGCTTACTTGGGCTTGATATCCCATTGCTGTCGACCTCTTGATTTCCTGTTCAACGTCCGCTAAAAGTGCGTATATTGTTATCGATTCGCTGTCAACAAATCCGCTACGCCCTTGTCTCTCCGGTGTCGCTGGAGGTGTGTTCATGCCTCTCTCAGAGGGAGGGTAGGCACAATCGGAAACGCTCAAGGCGGCAGCGAGATGCTCAAGAAGTTTCTCTTTGACTCGCGCCCTTCGGTCCTCAGCCTTTCATTAGAGTTAGCGACACCGTCGAGGATGTAGGTGGGGGGATATGAACCTTCTCAAGTTTGTTGTGCCAATCGTCAATGGCAGCATCAAGCTCAGCAAGCGCTTCTTCCTGTTTCAATAAACTCTCTCTTGAGAAGACAGCCGAACGAGCAGACCTCAAATAGGCCAACATGCGAGTGTGCAGTGTCCTCCGTCCATCCCTAAGAGATTTATGAGTCTCCCGAAGGTATTGGCACCTTGTTTCCAACTGCGACAACTCTTTCGAAAGCCCCTCAACATCCTTTGGATGTAAGACACAAAATTCCTCGGACCGAAGCTTGGCGGCAGTCTGTAGTGATTCGATTTGGCTATATGGATAGTGAATCGGCGCTTTGGAAGGCTTTACTCCTTGGGGAAGAGATGGAGATATATTACTCTTCTTACGTTTATGGCGCTGCTTTGATGCGACCACCGAGTCGGCGGAACCTGGGCGCTCTACCTCGGCATGCGGATTGATCCTGGTGGAGGCATGCCGCACCGGAGGAGCAGAATCGGCGCGGGGCCGTTGGGTAACCCTCTCCCTCCCTAGGTTCCCCTCCGCAGTTCCAAGGGATTCCGCGCGTTTCTTGAGTAATGTCGGCGCCCTTTGTAGAACAGGACCGCTCTTCGGAGGGACCCGGGGCGGAGTATCCCCAGCCGTTGCTGGCCACGGGGTGTGGAGAGGTGGAGCAAGGGTTGAGGGCAAAATAGGTTTCTCGATTGGTTTTTCCACGGGACTAAACGCCGGAAGGGTGTCTAATGCCGGCGGAGAACTTATGCTCGATACCAGGATTTCACTGAATGCGTTATTTCGCCAGCCTGTTGTTTCTGCTTCCTGATATATGGCTGGGCGGCCAGGTATTGTGGCTTCGGGCGACAAAAGTTAGCATTGATATCATTCCCGTATTTCGACATCACTCGGCCGGAATACTTACGAGAGTCCATACAGACTTCCTGGACCGTTTCCATCGTCTCGAGATCCGATTGGCTTCCCTTGCGACGAGCCGTAAATACACCCTTTGCTCTTTGCTTTGCACTTGCGATACTAAAGCCGCTTGAAGATTGAGATGGGGAATTCTGAAGACCCGAACTGGGCGTTTCTTTTGGGGCCATCATAGCCGTGGAAGGTGCTGCCTTGGTCTGAGGGGGCTCCACCAGAGCTGGAGAGTTTTCCAGCTGTTTTGTCGGAGATGGATTTCGTGAATTTGAATAGAAACTCACGAGGTTATCAAAAGATATCCCCTTTGACAGGGAAGGCGCATTCCTCTTGTGCTTCTGCTATAATTCGGTCAACGAGAATCCAAGGGAGAGAGAGAGCCCGCAATAAAGCAGGAAGCTTACCGGGGCAGTCGGGGCACCCGCTGTCGCGAGAGCAGCAGCAATATGCGGGAGAGCAGAAATCTTTGGCGGGACGGGTGGAGGAATGCCTCCACGTGCTGGAAACGGAGAAAGGCTCATTATTCGTTAATTTTAGATATTAGGTGATGACTGAATCGGATCTCCGGGCTCCTTTTGAAAGAAAAACCGCTGTTGCCCGCAGAGGGAGACAAGATATGCAGATAACGGGATGGCAATGGGCACTCGGATTTCAGGAAACAATCTTGGTTTGCTTCTTGATATTTTGAGGCCAGCCTCTCTCTCGCGAGTCTATCCCTTCCTTCTCACTGGCACAGAGAAAATGTCAGGGAGGGTGGTTGGGAAGAACGAATAGTGTTCTAGTCTCTTTCAGATATATACTCTTTGGGCCTGATGACCGGGGGCTGGCTAGACGAAGCTATCGGGAAGAAAGCGGAGACTGCGGAGTCTCGCAAATCCCCTGTTCGTGCGTCTCGTTTCGAGACTACAAATGGATACCCTTTTTGAAGACGCACCCGTTCCCGATCGAGCTTATATCCTCGTATAAATGTGCCATTATCGCCAAGAAGGGAAGCGAACGATATCGCTAACAGGCATGGAACAACCACCAGCCGCATCAGCACGGACACAGTCGAGCTTCCATGGATTTTTCTGTTTTTCCTTTTTCGCCAGCGTTAATGATCTTGCCGCACTTCGCAAGTGCAACTAAGGAATACTCATCCTAATCCTTGTAGGCGAATGCAGCTCCACTGCATGAGACAGTTTCTTTTTGGTCGTCCGACCTCACAACAATATCTACCCTTTCAGTCTTGCGGCGAAACCAAATCTAGGGGCACGCATGGCTACTGAAGCGAGATGGGCGAGTTCCTCTGCTAATATCTCCCCCAGCCCTGTGGACCACGGGGGGTAAACCACACTGCTATACCTGGAGACGAGGCGCTAGAGCGTCGTGAAGTTCTGACTGATCCAGCTAACTAACGTACCGGTACAGGACAACCATCCCTCAACTCCTCAATTAATGTTGCCAAGCGTACTGAGCAGGTGTCAAAATGTCTAGTTCCGACTGGCAGTCGGCGGGATCCCGGACATTATCCCAGACATTATCCTTGCAGCTGAATTATAACAGGAATAAGGGTTTCCTAATCGCAACAACATTCTCCAGGTGGGACAGCGCTGATTACTAGTAGATGCCGTTCCGATGGAGTAAAGGATGAGCGTTTCATCCCATGTTTTGTAGCCTGTCCGGGTTCAAACATGCCTTCTCTCCCTCTGTGTCCAACGGCCCGCACCCCTGTCAATATCGACGAATAACGTTTTGACCCTCACTCAATCCAGTTGCAGCAACCTATTGTGTGTACAGTACGGGTGCCCGGGAGATATTTCCCTACAACAATAAAGGTTATCCCCCAGGTTAACCCAAAATACCTTTTTTAACTAAATATCCAGTGGGTGCTCTTGTGCATTTTAACACACTGGGATCGATACACCACTTTGGAAAAACCGGAGAAAAAAAAGCCCTCCAGGTTGACTAAATCCTTCAGTTGTCTTCCCTCCGGAGAACATTTTCGAGATGCCGACGCAGTTGGTCTCAACAGTCCCTTCCCTGGATCGGACCCCCTCCAAGCACAGACTACTGATCGAAACGGTTCTCGTCGATTGTCACCATTTCTAGACTCCCAACCGGACCTTTTCTTGCTGTGCAAAACGGCTCACCTTGGGTTCCGCGGGCCATTTGCAGGCCTGGTCCACAACATTGGATTTGTAATTACTGATCAACCCCGAACCCTAGAATAACGTGCTAACCCAGACTCAAACCACATGATACCTACAATATCATAATACCGGCACGAACAATTTATAGAAATCGATATCCAAGAAACGGGAACCCCCAAGAAGTTCGAAACGGTTCCGAACATACGTTTGCCACCAGATGACAGGAAGAACCGGTCAAAGAATAATATCGTGCAGAATGTGTGGTGCTGTCGAACGATTGACGACTAGTGGTTGCTCGGGGGGCGGTGCATGGGGCGAAGACCCGCCAGGCGTAAGAGAGGAGGCGACCCGTTTGGTCATTTCTTACTCCTTTTCGCCGCAAATCTTGGTGCGCGTGCGTGCATCATGCTTCTATTGACCGACTTGTCCTTTCTTCCGTCAGCAAGCACCCTCCCGCTCCATCGTGAAGAAAAATTACATAGCAGCAACCCAATATTCTACATACCGCCAGCCCCCGTGTACGGAGATCTGGAAGGCCCGTACGGTATTGGTAGCCCCTAATAGACCAAACCACAGGCCTGAGCAGCGGGAATGAAAGGACATCATCCGGGCGTGACAGGAATGTCGCACAGAAGTGGTAGGGGTGGAAGTGAAATCAGGGACACCCAGTCGTAGTATCAATCAATCCAACGTCCCACAGGAGGAAGGGAGAAATAAGGAAAAGCAGAGAAAAAAGAAAAAGGGTACTCGGTATGGGGCGAACTACGGTACTGCGACTCGATATCCAGGTAGAGACCCACGATTCCGGTACTGGAGGATGGTGGGCCTTGTATTCTCCGATGCCCAATACGGCACAGTTGGGCAATGGATAGGTTAAAGCAGCATGCCGAGCTTTATCGCACTATTTTGTACTAGCACCTGTATGATACTGACCCACCAATCGCCAACACCCGCACAGCAACATAGCGGGGACGGGTAGCAGTTAGACTATACCATACGAGTAGCGATCACCGCGTGGACTAAATTTTAGTAAGATAGAGGGGGCTCGATCTAGGCCAAAGTAGCATACCGGTATTTATACCCAATTAACTATAAAAAATAAAATAAAATGAGATCCTTTGTCCACACTCGAGTGCTCCCTGCCTATACTTGTACTTGTATCCCATCGTTCCCCCTAAATTCCCGAAAGAAGAAGGAAAAAAAAAAGCTCCCTACAGGTACAAGTGCCAGGGGAGATGTTTTCGTACAAGACAGGGATTATTTTGCGGGCTAACCTAAATTAACTGTGCGAAAACATTATCCCTGGCACTTGTAATACTACTCGTATCATGCAGTACTCGAGTACACACATTCCCTTCACACTGACCCGCCTGACCGCCTGAATTCCTGAATGCCTGAATGCCTAACTAACTGTCATATTACGCTAACCTCCCAGGAGCTACGACTGACATTCTACAGTACTCGTACACCCAAGTTCCGTGTATATAGTACATACCGTACCGTGCCCATCATACAAGTACGGTATAATATTATAACATCATATCACAGTTCGGGCACGTCTTCCCGTCTCCGAGTTCTTGGGGCTCCCCTCCAGGACAAGGTATGATACAAGTACCAGTACTCGTACAGTATCGAGTGTATCGCCCACTCATTGAAGAGCACCAGTATGTCAAGTGCTGTTTGTGCCCGTATAATGCCCACGAGCTTGTTACCGGTGACCTGGAGATGGTACTGTATTTTACATACAGTACGGTGAAAGATTAGAGGGGATAATGGTTCATCCCAGCACTGCCATGCATACAATACAGTACGGTAACTATCTCAGCCAGAAACAAGTACCTGTAAAAAGTTAACAGGAAAGTTTTCCCGAGAATGTAACTTTCTTTTGGTTTCCTTTTGTAGATACTTGCCCTGGCCTGGCCTGCCCCGCTCCACATCATACCTTTACGAGCGAGTACGCACGGTACGGTACAGTACGAGTACTAGCACTAGTATTAGTACAGTAACGAGTACTATTTTACTACTATACGAACGAGGAATTCGATAACTACAACAAGTAGGAATTCCAAAACCAATACCGGTAAGCGACGGGTACAAGAAGAAGAAAAGAAGAAGAAAAGGGGGGGTGGTGGTGGTGAAGGGAAAAAAAACTATAAAGGATCCGGACCGATACGATGCGGTGCGGTGCCGTCGTGCCGCATTCACGGTACTAGTACTAGTACAGTAACCGTTTTTCTCGGCTTTTTTTTTCTTTCAAAAAAGGAATGAGCTCGTACCCGCTGTCTGCCTCCCCTTCCCTTTCCGGGCTTGTCCTGTCTTATCTTGCCTTGCCTTGTTGTTGCCTGACTTTCATTCCTATCCACCATTTTTTGTTTTTTGTTTTTTCCAGAGTTGTTGAAAAAAATCTCCGGTGAGTTTCTCCCGGGTTATGCTCGTGTTTGACACTTGCTCACTTCTCTGTGCCGATTGGGGCTATGGGGGAATGAATGGGGTGAGTGGGATGGACGGACTCACGACGGAGATACCAGTACAAAACACTGAATCTCACATTGTGTATGAACTTCTTTTCCGTGACCGCGGAGGAGCGAGAGCATCCCGGAAAAAAAAAAAAGGAAAAAAAAGTCAGCGTCGCGGGTTGCGAGAGCGATCGTTTCGTGCCGCGACATTGTATATACCGGTGTATATATATATCACGATACGATTAAGTTAAGGTTAAACTAGCGAAAGCAAGTTAAGAAACGTGTCTTAATATCGAGTGAGCGGTTATGTCTGTCATCCTCGCATTAGATTCCTACGGCACGAGCACTGTATGATACGATACCATCATACCGCAGCGTTTCCGCTCAGTGTCGGACTGGGGTTGTCAGTACAAGTGTTATACAGTACCTGTAGCTCGGCCGATCCTGTATTGTACCGTACCCACTCGATTGGCAGATTGTGTTTTGCTATCTATCCAATAACCTATTGCGAATTGTTTTTACTACTACTAGTAGTAGTAGTAATAGTAGTGGTAGTGGTGGAGAGCGAATCGGCGCTGCGATGGATTAGCAATAGGTCCGATTTGCCCTCGTAGAAGTGCGATACAGTAGGCAGGTCCGGGATAAACTTTATTCCATCCTGGTAAGAGGGGGTTGGTATCGTAAACGGTGGTGGTGGTGGTGGTGGGAAAGCCCAGGTTATTGGATACTGATTGGTATTCTTGCCGCAGATCATGTGGGAAGAGGGGTTGTCGTGAAGGTGGAGTGAGCGAGAGGTGGGGGAGGGGCATGGTCCAGGAAGGTGGTTCTCACTCCAAACCCGGTCGGAAGTTGCAGTACGGTACTCGAGTATGTAACCCTTACAGGAGGTTAATCAGTCGGATATCGTATATCCCTGTCTGTTCGTTCCTGTTAATAGGGTTCCAACCCTGTACAAGTACGAGGATAGGAGTGTGTGTGTAGTGTGCAGGGGAAATCCCATCATAAATTATCGTACGAGTACGAGACCAGCACGATATCCAGGAAGGCAGGAAGGCAGGAAGGAGGGAATAGAGGGAATGAGGCGGGGGGGGGAAAAAAGCAAGAGAGCCCAGACTGTCCACCCCACAGCCCTCTAAATCGGCGGAATGCGAAGATCTTTCCATA